TAGGGCCCTATAAAATGTTCTTAATTTTTCTGGTAATCAGATGAAGGCATAAAACATTAATTTAATTTATCCTAATCAAATGAAAATTAAACCCTTTTATTTTTTGGCAAACAAGGTGCTGCACAACAGAGGTTTACTGTTAAAATAAAAAAGAAAACAGATGTGATTATTCCTTTAAAAATAAAGATTTATAAATATGTATTAGCAGTAGTAGCATTGATTCTTAAGACTGCTAAATAGTAATATATTCTGACAGTTTCTTAACGTTAAACTAAACTTTTATTTTGACAGGTTGCCGTGAAGAACTTGCAGCTGCTGTGTATGTGATGTGACGGTAGCTTTCTCAAATGAAACGGTAAAATAAAAAACCCCTGCGAGCGTCATCCGCGCTTTAGTATGTGTAAACAAAACAGTGCGCCGCGCCATCTGCCATTCATTCATTGCGGAAATCATGGTGCCTTATGCGTGATATCAAATGCTTCTGCAGATTTATAGTATTACTATAGCATTTCACCTGAGCATTGCGAATCACGCGTATGGCCATGATAAGCGCTGAATGAATGACAGGCTTTCTGTTGTAACATCGCGCAAGGTAAATAAGGGTGACATCTAGTGTAGAAGACTAATGATAAGAGTCACGTTAATCAGATCTTATTTTAAATGTGTGCTGAAATAAATCCCGGAAAAGATCGATTTGCGGCTTTTGAGAATCGATATCGAATCGACATCATTTAAAAAAAACGATTAATCGAAAAATCGATATGTGTGCAGGCCTTAAAAAGTCTTAAATTGTACAATAAAGTCTTAATTATGATTTCAAGAGGTCTTAAAGGGGTCATATGATGCGATTTCAAGTTTTCCTTTCTCTTTGGAGTGTTACAAGCTGATTGTGCACGGATAAGGAAAGACCAGAATTGCGATATGGCTGAATGTGATGATTAAACTTCAAAAAAGGCTACAATTTCATTAAATAAACATGAGCGCTGTACATTCAAAGTCTGGTGCTGCACTGCTTTGTGTTCTGCCGTTACTGGGGAAACGGTGATATTGCTACCAAACGCACCACCTGCTGGCAGAGAATGAGCATTTTCAAAAAGCCTGTTGTTTTGTTCAGAGTTCAGACCAATGCGAAACCGGCCTATGTTTTTACCCTGCAAACACGCAGAGCTTTAAATATGAACTGGTGGATCGATAAGAAGACAATGCATTATAAAAATCTAAACCGTAGGGTGTGCGATATGTATGGTCTGCGATAATATCATAATTGTTATTTTAATGATGTGTGATTTGACATTATCGAGTACATCGCGAAAAGCAAACAAAACATACCAACAGAGTTCACGGTCTGCACACACATATTAGGTGATGAAGTCAGTTAATATAGGTTAAACTAGTGCACTCATTTAGAGTGCGTTCTTTCACTGCATCAGTCGGTCTATTAAAATGCATTTAGAATTATCACATAATACAAGATATGGGGGCAGAAAATGTATATATGTATATGATTTCATATAGTTAATATCACACGAAGAGTGCCGTTTTTTCTCCAAATGTCAACATGATTACAAATGCGATATTGATTTTATACAACAGTTTACGTACAGACTTACGTTTTAGACACCGTATTTCCTGCTTTTGCTCTATTTCGCCAACAAAAAGCAGCACTGTTTTGCGTTTCTGAGCAACATGACAGTGTTTCCTTCCTAAATGAATCAAGAGTTTAAATGATTCGGTTCAATCGCAATGACTCACTTATTAACAGTGACTTGCTCCCACCTACTGGCGGTTTTAATTTCACATTTAAAGTAAATAAAAAAAATAAAAATTTTAAACATCAGTTTCAATGTTTTATGTTTAAAATATCAACATCTAAATGCCACTTAAGATGCAGCTTCTGTGTTTCCTCTGCATTGCAAAGATACATTTTGTTGATACTGATTTCATTTGCTTGGTAGCAGCCCAAATTTGACTCAAAAGCTGTTGGCTTAAAGATAAAAATGCCCATAAAACTTATTGGAAAAGATTCATTTCTATCACTGCTGTGAACTGACCACACAGAATATAAAAAAATAAAAATTCAGGAGTTCGCTGTCCACGGTAGTCCTTAAGATATCAGCACAGTAACACACTCAGCAAAATATTGTCTAATAATCGTTATCGATAAAATCCCAGAAAATAGAGATATTTTTTTTGTCAGTATCACAAACCCCTAATTTGTTATTTAATTTATATAATAATTTATTGATGATAATCGTTTAAATTAAGATAATGATTAATACTTTCGACTCCATTTTCTTAAAAATTGTTTAAAGGCTGAAATGTAAAGTTTATCATTTTATAAAACTTTTTTTTTTTGTGAAAACTTGTATATGAACTGTAAATTATGCTTTTTATAGTCATTTTACAGTTTATTATGGTACTATAGACATTGCCCTACCCCGCTCATATGGTATTAATTTTATTTGTGCAGGTCTTAAAAAGTCTTAAATTTGTGCTTAAAAATCCTGCAGAAACCCTGCTCTGACATTTAGTAGCAATAAGCTTAATGTTACCTGCTAGTGAAGGGATAGCATCAAATACAGCAACATAAATAAGATCTCTGCCATACACATGCATACTGTTTGTGGGTGTGTAATCAGCCTCAGTGCTTTGTAACCAGAGACTCTCCTTCAAGATGAAAAAAGTATGTATGTATATATAGCCTATCCGCTGCAGCTTTACATCCATTGGGATTGAATGTAATACAGCCTGATTGTTGGAAGTGGTGAGGCTTATTACACCGTTCTAAAATGTGATGAAATTATTCATACATGCCTATGCAATGGGAATGTCAACTAAAACTATTGTGTGCTAAAAATGAGTAAGATGAATGAAATAAAATGTGCTAACAGACGATATTTTACTGCTATCCAGCACCTGTTTCACACTGCATGAGCGAGGCATGGGGGGGGGGGGGGTGAATAGCTTTAGTCATTTGGCGTGGGAAACTGCCAAATATTGTCTTTAATAACAATATATATAATTTTTTTCTATTTAGTCATTTAGCAGACGCTTTTATCCAAAGCAGTCAAAACGAACAAAAGAGCAACAATATATAAGTGCAAATGACAAGTCTCGGTTAGGCTAACACAGTACACGTAGCAAGGTGTATATATATATATATACACACAAAAAGAAAAACAAGTAGATAGAATAGAAAAAATAGAAAGCTAGTGTTTGTTTGGTTTTTGTTGTTTTTTTAAATAAAAATAAAATAAAAAATAAGATAAATATAGATAAAGTAGAATTAAAATAGAATAGAAAGTGCTAGAGTTAGAGGGTCAAATAAAGGTGGAACAGATGTGTTTTTAGTCGTTTCTTGAAGATGGTTAAGGACTCCGCTGCTCGGATTGATTTGGGCAGGTCATTCCACCAGGAGGGAACAGTTAATGAAAAAGTCCGGGAAAGTGATTTTGTGCCTCTTTGAGATTGCACAATAATATGATGTTCACTTGCAGAATGCAAGCTTCTAGAGGGCACATAACTCTGAAGTAATGAATTTAGGTAAATGGGTGCAGAGCCAATGGTGGTTTTGTAGGCAAACATTAATGCCTTGAATTTAATGCGAGCAGCTTCTGGTAGCCAGTGCAAATTTAAAATAAATATTTAAAATAATTTGCTGAGGGTGAAGACCTTACTTACACCACATTTGTAAATAATTTACGTTGTTTATCATAATAATTAACAACGATCACCAGAAGTAAAAAACTAAATGTATGCTGTAAACCAAAGGTGCACAAACTTCACCAAAAATCAAACTTGATTAAAGGCCGATGGCTAAAAGTAAATGTTGCATTATATCCATATATATTAAAATGTATTTATTTATTCTGTATGTTGGTCAGTATGTTCTCTAAATTTCAATGCAAAAATAGAACAACAAAATTGTTAAAATTTAGAAATGAAGATATGCTCCAATTATGTGGTTTTTATTCAAGTATGGCATGATATGGTATGGCGGGCCAAATCAAAGGTCATCGTGGGTCAGCATTGCTCCGAACAAACTAAACCACGGTTACATGACTTTTCAGTTTCACCACCAATTAAGCTTCCAACAACTCTTTCAGTCTTTATTTAAAAACATTTACCCTGAAAGTTTGAGTTAGAATAGTTTGCAGGTCATGAGTATAAACACAATGAGGCTGTTAAAGCGAACTAGTGAGTAGAGGATTTTACCTGCTCGGTGACTATCTCTGTTACAGTCCCATTTAGACAATTGTTAGCAAACGCCTTTTTTAAGACAAGTAAAAGCTTTTAAAAAATCATAAGGTTTTACTGATGTATTTTATGTCATAGAATAAAACATGAAAATATCTTGAGCTTGTTTTCACCACAGACCTTTTTTTCAGGCATTTAACCAAAAACCCATTAAAAATGGATTCGGGACGATGAAACCAGTAAAATGCTAACTCTTTTATGGGTTTTGGCCTACAATAATAAATCATCAATGCAACACTCTACAGATCCCGAAGTTCTGAGCAATGAAACAACTCTGCTTGTAACTAGTTATGACTAATATCTAAACTATTATATTTGGTTCTTTTAGGGTCACAATGGCTCCTGCCTTCCGCTTGACTATGAAGCCCAAAGCCACAGATAATATGACCCACCTGATGGTGGACTTCATTCAGGAGAGACAGCTTCTGCAGGGCCTAAAGTTCCTCCCTGGTAAGCTAATTACTAATGTTATTTAGCTGCTTGTATTACAGGATCAACCCATCTTGAGTTTGAACCTACAACCTTTGAGTTACCAACCCAGCATCTGCCACCTGTGCCTATGTTACTAAACCTGTGATAGAAGAATGTACTCTAACCTGTTCTGTAAATATGAAGATTATAATTCTTATCATAGAAATGTTTCCTCAGATATTACATGTGACTGATGTGTTGGCATGCCTACTTTAAAAACCTGTTAAGTTACCTCCAATCTTTTGTTTCATGCCAGCTAAATAATTAAACCCTGTCACTTTTCACAGGTAGTCAGTACAAAACTTAGTTTGCCTTATTAAAGAGTTAAAGGGAATTAAAGGAATAGTTCACCCAAAAATGACTATGAAATTTTAATGCTTCGTTTGTTAAAAAACACTTTTTTCACATAATTTTTCACATAATTTACCTTTATTCCACACCTCTCTGTCCCTTCTCCTCTGAACGCGCTGATCATTTCCTGCTTTTATGAAGCCCCTCCCTCAGAAATACACGATGGGCTCTGATTGGTTAGCTAGTCCAGTGTGTTGTGATTGGCTAAACCGCCTCTAGCGCGTGTCTAAAAATAAGTGTATTCACTGAGCTGCTGATCTGAATGAGAGAGAGAGAGAGAGCGAGAGATGCAGAGCGTGTGCAGAGTAGGGCGAGGCCAGGAACAGGATGAGAACGCTGCTTTTGAACATTGATTTTGAAACTTGTGAATCCATTAGAATCGTTAGAAGACAGAATCGCGATTCATATATGAATAGATTTTTACGTGCACCCCTAGTTTTCTCTTCCTCTTCTCTAAAGCAGCACAGCATGGCCTCGCCCCCTTTGCTGCATGTTCCCGGAGGCGGGGTTTATGTAACATTCTGGGTTCTTGACGTAACTGTAGCGAATCAGCTCATGGGGAAATATGAATAATTAAGCATAACTAGTTATAATTAACTATTCATATTTTAGATCCGCTGTAGATATTTAGCTGACCTCTCAGGGTCAACTGTCATTGGTCCAGACGCTACATAACGGACCTGGGAAGTAACTCATTGTAGTCCCTTACCAGTTGTTTTTGTAGGCATTAAACTGGCAGAATTGAACTCAAACAGCAACATTACACACTAACTAACAATAAAAAAGTGAAATCGCAATCAACCACCCCTTTAATGAACGCATTTTTGTGAAAACCTGAAATTCAACCAAAATTTTCCCCTTTTTTTTGTCTGTATCTTAAAATTAGCCTCTAAATTGCATTCATGGCAGAGGACTATAATAAGCATTAGTTTTGTAATTTTCAGCGTTAGTTTTAGAATTGCTCTATCAAATGATTCAGTATTCTACCTTATATTTGCATATGTTATGATGAGCTCTACTGATTTGTGGTTCATTGCATGGAGTGACTGCTTGTTTCATCTGCTGTTCACGTGTGTGTAATCATGCGTCAGGATGACTCTCTGCACTTTTGTGAGTCACTCTGGCTTTGGGGTCTACAAATGCACCAAATCCAGACATATACACATTTTTAAAAATAGCACTGAAAAATTAGACCCCTCTCAGCTCTATCATCCCAGCACAAGAAGAGGATATAGTAGACTAAGTGTTTCAGATATCAACATTTCAAATCAAGTTATAACTATTCTCTCTCTGTCTAATCACTGATGTGCCTAAATCTGACAACCTCTGATCTAGACTATATGCTAATTCTCTGTTTTTAAGTATCTCTCTGCTTCTTTGTCATATGACACCATTAGAAGACAAAATTCATGAATATTAATTTGCTGACACTGAGGTAATCTTCCAAGACTGTGCTAGCTTAACATTTGCACAGATATTTTTTCGTGTTAATAATATTAAGAGTCTGTATAGAGAGCTCATCTCTGAAATGTCAAAACTCAAGATATGATTCGTTTAGAAAAAAATGCACAAAACCATTTTAACAGATAAAATGAGATATTTCTTAATAAAATGGTACTGGCACCTCTGGCTCCTTGTATTTTGCTCTGATACTTAGTGACCTGACAGCATTTGTGTGTGTGTGTGTGTGTGTGTGTGTAGCCGGATAGGTTGAGCAGAGTTAATTTAGAAACATAAAACTCAAATCTGTCCCTAGCCAACCTGAGAAGCGTGGAGAGAGGACCAGAGTTACTGTATAGCATAGCTGCATTAGAAGAAGAGAAGAGTGGTGTTGTTTTTGACTGGATGTTATCTTTGGACAGGAATCTTTAACAGGATATTTAGAATACGAGACAATCTCATATGCATGACTAGTTTATCACATTGATTTGAATTGGAAAATTGACTATTTTTAAAGGGGGTACTTCAAGTAAATATGTCTAAAAGGTTTGGCTTTGTCAATTATCACATGTATCATATGGCATCAGTTGGCATTTTAATTTGTTTAAAAGACATATGCCTTCGAAAAACATAGTAATACATGGTTAAATGACTTAATGAGATAATTCAAATAATAATTGAAATGTGTTCATCACGAATTGATTATATATGCAGAGCTGTGATGTTGAGAAACCAAAACATTGCAAAACATTTCTTAGGGCCCTATTATTGTTAATAAATAGTTAATGTTTTATGAATTCAATTGATTAGACATGTTTTTTGGTTATTAAAATGTAATTAAACCATTCAAATTGAATAAAAAAATAAATGGAAAAGAACTTGGGCGAAAAATAAAACGGATTTAATTTCAGGCAAAAGAAAAAACGAAATAACCTTCTTAAAACGAATGTTTTCGTTAAGCATCGAAGACTTTTGGACATCAAGGGTACATTAAGTAATTTGCTGTTGAGTTATAAAAATCTCTGCCCATTCCTGTCTGTAAATATTCTAAAACAGCTTATTGTAGCATTTAGATCTCAGACCTGCCTCCCTTTTTTAAAAAGGCAATTTAATTCAATTAAGCTGTAACATGCATTTAAGCACATAAACTGCCCGTATTTGTCGATTCACTTTGTTGTAATAAGGAGCAAGGAGAATACATGCTGTTGTTAAAAACCAGAATAAATGACGATAAGATGTTCTCTACCTGTAATGCCTGTAAACTTGCAGTGCACAAGTAAATGTAGAAAAAGGCTGTTTTTGCTTTCACACATAAAAATTGCAACAACACTTTGAGCACTGCATAAAACACTGCCTATTAAATGGTGAAAATAGGTCATAAAACACTAAAAGCTGACTGTTTGGGTGCAATAAACGTACAACTTACAGTTACAAACAACCTAAGTGGATCTCAAAGACATAAACATGTATGACAGTATATTACTAAGTGGACAAAAACATGTATGATATGACACCTTCAAGGTAATACATGTGAATCAAAGTCCTACTTGCCTTGTTCTGATCTTCTGCACTTAGTGCCAAGAGCTCCAGAGATAGTGCTCGAGGACTGTCTGGTCATAGATAATGAGGTGACCGTAACCTGGAGAATACCGGTGGAGGACAGCAAGATTGACCATTACATCTTAGAGTACAGAAAAACCAACCACGAGGGTCTGCCGCGTGTGAAGGACGAGCAGTGCTGGGAAGTGGTGGACAACATCAAGACCAGTGAATACACCCTACAAGGTGCTGACAGCAATGTTCTGCTCAAAATATTTTACATTTCCCACTTTTATGCATTAGGAAAACTGATTGCTCTCTTCATTTGACAGGGTTAAGATTTGACACCAAGTTCATGAACTTCCGGGTAAGAGCATGTAACAAAGCAGCCGCGGGGGATTATTCGGATCCGGTCACTTTGGAAACTAGAGGTATTAAAGCATATATATATTCAAATGTTTGGGGTCAGAAAGATTTTTAATAGAAATGAATACTTTTGTACATCAAGGATGCATCAAGTTGATCAAAAGTGAAAGTAATGACATTTATTATGTTACAAAAGATTTCTGTTTCAAATAAATGCTGTTCTTTTGAACTTTACATTCATTGAAAAATCCTGCAAAAAAATATTTATAACAGTTTCTACAAAAAACAAAGCAAAACGGTCTTCAACATGACAATAATCATAATTGTTTCTTAAGCATTAAATCAGCATATTAGAATGATTTCTGAAGACTGGAGTAATGATGCTGAAAATTCAGCTTTGATCACAGAAAAAAAAAACATTTTAACATACATTACAATAGAACAGTTATTTTCAATTTTAATAGTGTTTCACAACCTTACCAACCCCAAACTTTTAAACAGTAGTTTTATTAGTAAAAACATATGTTATTGTACGGTCCTGTTAGTATTTCTGTGATATTGATGGTTGTGCCTCTCTGTGTTAGCGTTTAACTTCGGCTTTGACTCCACGTCATCTCATCTGAATCTGAAGGTGGAGGACAGGAGCGTGGAATGGGATCCTCAGGGAGGAAAAGGAGTAGACACCAAAGTCAAAGGGAAGGAGAACAAGGGCAGGTAAGAAATTTAAGATACTGCATCTTTCTTCCATTGAGTCAGCCATGAATGAGATGAAACATACATGTTCTTGTACTCTCAGATGATATTTTAATATAGTTTTAAAATTTCTGCTTCATCACACTGAATCCTGGTGTGTGTTGAGAGGTTTTCAGGTTTGGCTGCTAGTACTTTGGCTGTTAGTAATTTATTAAAGGGTTAGTTCACCCAAAAATGAAAATTCTGTCATTAATTACTCACCCTCATGTCGTTTCAAACCCGTAAGACCTTGCAGGGTCAGACAGCTCTCAGATTCCATCAAAATTATCTTAATTTGTGTTCCGAAGATGAACGAAGGTCTTACGGGTTTGAAAGGACATGAGGGTGAGTAATTAAATGACAGAATTTTCATTTTTGGGTCAACTATCCCTTTAATCAACACATCAGTTAGTGTAAGGTTAGTGTAAAGTTAGTGTTATTGTTAGTGTAGTGTTAGTGTTATTGTTAAAGGGATAGTTCACCCAAATTCTATCATTAATTACTCACCTTCATGTCGTTCCAAACCCGTAAGACCTTCATTCATCTTTGGAACACAAATTAAAATATTTTTGATGAAATCCAAGAGCTTTCTGACCCAACTGACACGTTCAAGGCCCAAAAAGTTAGTAAGGACATTGTTAAAATAGTCCATGTGACATCAGTGGTTCAACCATAATGTTATGAAGCTTCAAGAATACTTTTTGTGTTCAAAGAAAACTAAATAATTTATTGAGCAGTTTCTTCTTTTTTTCTATTTAAAATTAGTCTGAAATAAAAGTTTCATACTCTACATTTTAATATTGTAATGTCCAAATTCACTTTTAGCATTTAAAATGACTGATTTTAGTTTACAGTGTTTTAGATTATTTCAACAAAGTAGTGTAGAATTGGCAATAGCATAAAAATAATTAGTTTTTTAACATCAGTGCCTCCCTAATAACTCCCTGCTCTTGTTTTTCCTTTTCTACCAATCAGCAGTGCACATTTCACCAATCTGAAGAATATGTCAAGGTGACCGTGTGTCTCTTAGCAGTGGTCTTTAGCTCTTTCTGACAGCAATAAACCAAGCGCTACTGCTGGCTTACCTAGAGCCCATTAGTTCTGCTCGTCTACGGGCATCATGTTCACAAAGACAGATCTGAGCAAAGCGTTTCATGAAAAAGGATTACAGATCACCAGATAACTTTAATCTACGTTTTATCTTTCAGGAATTTCATTTATTAGTTGCAAGCTTACAAAATATGTCTTATTCATCATTTTAAAGAAATGCATCTTAAATTTTATTCTAAATTCCCTATCATACTTGTGATCCTTATTTATGAAATGTCTTCTTCTGAGGGTTTTTTCCTGTGTTTCTAAACTGAGTGCTCTTATGGGTTTCGCATGTGCTGGCTGTGAGTGTTACTGAAAGTAGATTCAATAGAATATACATAGAAATGTATTATATAGAATCACTCGTTCTGACAATGATTCTGACCAAAAACTCAACCTGTACTTGACATCTTTGCTATCACCTCTCTCTTTACAACTTGGCTACTTCTTACTGTGTTGAAATGTTATCAAATGATGACCTAAATATTAGTTTTGCAACGTTTAATCAAACGTAATTCTAAATACAAAGTTGCTTTTCCATGCTCACATCCTTATGACTGTGGTGAGTAAGCTTTCGTCTGAAATCACCGCTCTAATGCTTTTCTCATCAGTCATTCCATTACGGCAAACAAAGTGCACTGAACAACATCAATTTTGCATGTAATTACACCGGTCATGCATTGTAACTAAACCATCTGGTATGCCAAGAACCTTGTGATAATGCTCCATCGTTTACAATGTGTGGGTCGTCCTTCACCGGCCAGCTGTTCATATGCTAATATGTGGGATCTTACATATGGCTAATGGAGGAGGGGAGATCATGAGCCCTGCACGAAGGGTTCAACCATCCCTTATTCAGAATCATTTTGTGTTAAATAATAATACACTTATTTGTGCACTTTGTTGAATACACAGTCAGTTGCCAGTAGTTTTCTTGCCTAAATGATCTATACTAGCCATCCGAAGTCTGCACACCCATTAGTTTATTAAGATATATAGGAGTTGTTTTGCTGTTTTTTTGTTGTTGCAATAAATGTATTGAGTAGCATTGCATCATTTGTGCTGCTGTGGCTAACATGTTATGTACTGCTTTTTCCATTAATTTCTCCATTAGATTTTTCATAGTTCTTTTTGCACCACCATTGGCTGTAGTAGGCATCACAAATAGGGACATGCTGTGTTTGATAACTAACTGACACTGACTCTCTTCCTCTTGCTCTTTGTGTGTTGTGGGACTTGGAGTTTGTGTTTGCGCATGTTCTGATGATTGATCTCTGTCTTGAACCCAAGTGTGTGTGTGTAGTGACTGTCAGTGTCTCTCTGATGGTTTCAGAAGTGGAACGCCATCTCCTAAAAGAACATCAGTGACGCGTTCACCCGCCCCGAGAGGAGCCAGGGATCGCTTCACTGGAGAGTCCTACACAGTACTGGGTACCAAAACAGCCTTAGAAATCCTAAAGTGTCTATGCTATCCAAAAGACTGGAATCATTTTGGAAGAAGTGTCTTTGTTTTTGAAGGAAACTGATGCTTCTCTTCAACAATTTTGGGAAAACTATCCCTGTCTCTTATAAGTTGGGGTTTAAAAGGCAATTGCTATTCAGTAATACCATTAATTTGATGGTACTGAAAACAGATGCGAACAAAATCTGAATGGATTTTAGTTGAACAATGACACTATTGTACTCTGTAGAGCTGCTTTGTAGATTAAATTGAAGATGTTTCATAATTTTGGGATTTATGAGTGACACTGTTTTGAAACAAAATTGAACTAATTTGATCTGAATATTCTTTCTGTAGAGCTGCTTTACAGGCTGAATCAAATTTGTTTCATAATGTATTAACTTTGCAACACTGACGTGTTATTGAATTCAATTGAATCAACACTGACTCTAAGTCAAGCCATATTTTAATATAGCACTTTATACAATAAAGATTGTTTCAAAACAGTGTCACAAATAAGCAAGAATTATGCGAAGCTTTTTAGTGATGAAACAAATACAAGCGTGTCATTAATCCACTAAAGTAAATTCATGGTCGATTCAGATTAGTTCATCAAATTATGAAATGAGATTAATTCAGATATAAGCAGCTCTGCAGAAGACAATGGTGTCATTATTCAGCTTTTAATGACTGAGATGAATTATGACATTATTGTCTTCAGTAGAGCTGCCGTGTAGTTGAAATTGAAGTTGCTTCATCATTAATGGACATTTTGCAATTTTGAGAGTTTTGAAACAACACCGAACTGAATGGAGCGGAATAATGAAACTCTTGTCTTCTATAGAGCTGCTTTACAAGCCGAGTTGAATTTATTTGATAATTAATGAACATTAACACTGTTATTTATGGTGAAGCTGCTCTAAAGCAATCTGTATTGTATAAAGCACTATCTGAATGCGACTTTACTTCTAACCAACAAATACTACACATCCACACAGCAGTGGTTGCTGGAATAACGTCACATTATTGACATTATAATAATTTGAAGACTGTTTTAATTAAACTTGTGTGTTTGTATGCATGTTTAGGTGACACCAGTATAGAGTCTGGCCAGCATTACTGGGAAGTGAAGCCTCAGAAAGACTGTAAGTCCTACAGTGTTGGTTTGGCCTACAGAAACCTTGGGAAATTTGACCAGTTGGGGAAGACCAACACCACCTGGTGTATCCATGTCAACAACTGGCTGCAGAACTCATTTGCAGCCAAACACAACAACAAGGCAAAAAATCTGGACGTCCCGGTACCAGACAGCATAGGCGTCTACTGTGACTTTGATCGGGGTAATGAACTAAATCTGATCTAAAATGACATATAGCACTTTTTAAATTATTGTTTGATTAACCCAATAAAGCCTTCTGTATCATATTTGATGGTATATTTCTAAGGCCTCTAAATGATCAACATGATTTTGCTGGAAAACCTTTTGTACACAATCTACTACATGCCTTCTGTCTGATTGAAAGTTTGTAATTTTTGGCAAGTAAAAGGCCTTTTAGTATAATAGTAAAAATGTCCACCTTTTTGCTGTGAAATTTTTTTTTTATAAAGTAAACATAAGAGTAACTTTACATTTGTCTCACAAAACAAATCTGCCTATTTTTTCATATGTCAGGATTTACAGGGTCAAACAGTGTATATGCATTTTTTGTAGCTCGCACCTGATTCTTTGTTTCTGTTATCCATGTCTTCTGTGTTATTATGGGTAGTTTAAGTGTTGTATGTTCATGTCATGCTCCATTTTGTTCGACTGCCATAGTCTATAGGGAACATTATAGCCCACCCTCGGGTTTCTCACATGTGCAATCAGATACCTACAGATTGAGTTTCCACCATTTCCATTCATGCTTTTCTTGTGAGCTGGTTCGTGCACTACCAGAATAACTTCAGCAAGTAAATGTGACTGCTGCTATTTATTAATAGCTTCATTTGTTGTTTTTTTTCCAGGCCAACTTTCCTTCTATAATGCTGAAAACAAACAATTGCTTCATACTTTTAAAGTGAGGTTCACCCAACCTGTTGTGCCAGCTTTCATGGTGAGTTAGAGTACAAACATTTTATTTACACATGCAAATATAGGTTATTCTAATGCAAACCATGCCCCGTTTTTCATGTATAAAAAAAGATGATAATGTAATAGAATCCGGCAACAGGGGAAAAAATGAAAAACACTGAAAGTGAGTGAAATAATAGGTTTGTAATAGTATAAGCTTGTAATAGTCATGTACTGAAGTATTAACACCACTTCTTCTCAAAGCTAATGATTAAAAAAAAATATTTTTTTAAATGATGCACTGAAAATTATGCACTTTGCGTTGACAGATCATGTCCTTGTTACAGTGTAATTATACAATTAAAGTGCCCCTATTATGGATTTTTGAAAATGACCTTTCATGCAGTGTGTAACACAGCTCTAAGTGAATGAGAACTTCCTGCAAAGTTTTAAATCTGAAAGTGCACCGTGTATAAAGTTATTGTCTCTCAAAAGAAAGAGACTCCCAAAACCAAAATATTAACCTTTCATTACCCATAATAGGGGCACTTTAAGTAATGACGTCATTATTACTGTAGGATTAGGGTTTGGTTTAGAGTTAGTTAATTATGCATAATTTACTGTAAGTACATTTAACATGTATAACAAAGACACCGTAGAGTAAAATAAAGCGTTACTGCAGCTGCTTTATGACTGGTAGTGTGGTACTTTGGGAATTGCCAGACATAGTACATCTTTGGTTGTGTTTGATTGTTGCTAATGTTTCTTTGTCAAAAGATTAAAGAGTCTTCTTCACAGCACTAAATACCTGAACAAACTGAACCATAATTTAAGGGCTTCACTCTTACATTTAAATGTGGTTGTGGCTCCTAATTCAAAAAGCATTTGTTACACCAGTAGTGACTGTCTCTATGAATGATTAATTAAATCACTCATTTTTCATGCTGTTAACCAGAAATAAGCATTACGTTTTTGAGTATTATTATAAGTGAATATGAAAAAAGAAATGCATTTAAATTTCAAGAATATTTTATTTAATTATAAAATGTATTTAATTAAAAAATAAATAACTTTTTCTTATTTTCCACATTTCCCGTCTGCTCTAGCTTGTCTAATAATCTAGTTTATACTGTAAACTTGGCATTGTGCATTGTTGTCTCTTATGAGAAATTGCTTGTAATATTTCACATTGGTGAATTGCTTTGGATAAAAGCATCCGCTAAATAAATACATGCAAATGTAAAACACTCCCCATAGACTTCAGTGAAACTGATCACACATTTGTGTCTCGAAACGCAAGTTCTGCCTGACAAAATATATCAACATCAGCCAGTTTTACAGTGTTAAATTAAAATATACTATATAGCAGATCTCAAATGCTTGATTTTTTTAAAATTTCATCACAAAATCTGCCAGCTCGTTATATTAAGTTGGATATAAACATATGTCCAATTTTATGCAGTATACTCACGTAAAGTTAAATATATTACACAGCAAATCTCAACTGCTTTAATTATTGTATTGTTGCAAAATGTAAACTACATTATCGCACAGCTCATGTCAAAGTTGTTATATGATCTGTATTTATACTATCGCCCGGCTGAAAATATTGTTGCATTCTTGTTGTTCTTATCAACAAAGAAACAAGCTGTCATCTTAAACCAAGCGTACTCTTTGTGGTTAAAGATCTAGGCTTATGTACTAATTGTGATATGTTCTAACTCTATATGGGGTGTTTTAGAAATTATAAATGATATTAAAGAAATAGTTCACCAAAAAATTAAATTTTTCTGAAAATGGACTCTTCCTCAGGCCATCCAAGGTGTAGATGAGTTTGTTTCTACCTGGGAACAGATTTGGAGAAATGTAGTACCAGTGGATCCTCTGCAGTGAATGGGTGCCGTCAGAATGAGAGCTGATAAAAACATCACAATAATCCACACCACTCCAGTACATAATTCAAGGTCTTGTGAAAAGCTGTGTGTTTGTAATAAGTCCATCAAGGTGTTTTTAACTTTAAACCATTGCTTTCAGCTAAAATATGAGTCCATAATCCATGATAATGCTTCCTCCAGCTAAAAAGTCGTTCCATCTGAATCAGGAGAGAAATATGAACAGATCAAGCACTTAACATGTAGCTGTATTTTGATGTGAGAGGACAACGGGATGAACTTTTTCACTGGAGAGAGCATTATTATGGATTATGTACTCGTATTTTAGTTAAAATGCCTTAATGATGGATTCCTTTATTACAAACACGCAGCTTTTGGCTTCGCAAGGTGTTAATTGATGGAGTCGTGTGGATTATTGTGATGTATTTATCAGCTGTATGGGGCTCACATTCTGACGGCACCCATTGACTGCAGAGGATCCTTTGGTGAGAAAGTGATGGAATGCTACATTTCTGATGAAGAAACAAACTCACCTACATCTTGGATGGCCAGAGGGTGATTAGATTTTCTGCACATTTTCATTTTCAGGTGAACTATCTCTTTAAAAGGGTCTGCTAAACGAAGACTGGCTGAGTGTCCTGAATGCCTGTGTTTGTATTTCAGGTGTGGTGTGGTGGTCTGACTCTGTCTACAGGCCTGCAGATACCCAGTGCAATAAGAAGCTTCCAAAAGACAGAAAATGGGCTGGGAGGATCGAACAGCAGTATATCTCCGCAGGATCCCTCAGTAGCCTGTGATATCTGCTTCTACGATAAACTGCCTTCAGTAGACAGCTCCCTAATGCCGTGACCCGATTTCTCAAAACACCTGAAAAACTAATCAGGAAACCATTCTGAAAACTGGACACACTTCCGATGACCGAGGCATGTAGACTTCCAGGACAAAGAGATCATCGCCGCAGCTTTGACTGGCAGAATTTGGAGAGACGTTTCCCTTTATGTTCCGATGAAGAGAGGCCTCGTTCTCTTTGACAGACACTTGCTTTCATCAGGAGATGTTTGCATAAGGAAAGCTAGTCGCTTTATCAGGGAATAGTTGAGTGCACTTTCTTTACTGATTTTAGTTTGAATGATGACATGCTTTTTTGAGTTGTTTGTCCTTCACTAGTTGATTCTCATATTGTTTTACTTTCGTTCCTTGTAGTGTGTGTTAAATCCTTTCTATGGTATTTTCTTTCTTTTTTTTACATTAACTGTACTCTTACTGATATTGAACTCTGTAGATCATCCTTCAGCTGTTGATTTTGAAACTGGAAAACTTTGCACAAGTGTAAAAATGATAAAAGCTGCTTTTAATGTCCCCTCATTGTCATAAACTGTTATTATATCTGGATAATTTTGGATGTAGACTGTACATTTTTGTTGTATAAATGTGTCATCCTCCTTTTAAGTCATTTTAGGTCTAATTTTTTGGAATAAATTAAGAGTTTGTCATGCATTTGTGCAGAAACTAATAATCAAACCTCCATCTGTTTCTATGTAACAATCCTTAATGAGCTTCAATCCAAACATTAAAGCTCACCAAAGACTTCTGTTTGACTCCATGTTGACTTGTTCTGCCTCTGGCACCATCTGGTGTTGTAATCCCCAAACAGCATTAAAGTGGATCACAGGCAAATGAGTTAAAGGGGTCATATTATGTTTTTTTTTAAAGATCATTATTTTGTGTATTTGGTGTAACAGAATATGTTGACAGGCTTTAATGTTCAAAAAACACATTATTTTTCAAATACTGTACATTATTGTAGGTCCTCTATGCCCCGCCTCTCTCAAACGCTTTGTTTTCTACAAACACGTGCGCGCACACACACACACCATGCGCAAAACTCCGCATTTGAACAGTCAATAGCAAATACTTAAACTAATAACAAAACAGTTGCTGATTCAGAAGCGCCAGATTGTCATAGCAAAGTCAGAATTACCTCCTCTCCTAGGTTCACGAAACGGTCGTCCATAAAATACATTGCTGTTCTGTTGTAAGTCATCTTAAAGATTCCTAAATGCATTCCTAAAGGCCAAATAAAGTGCTTTTGCTTTCGCCTAGAAACACAGCGTCTCCCTGACATGCTGCTTCAACACTAACTGCGGTTACTGAAACCACGCCTTCTTTCTTTGCGTGCACATTTGGGCGCATTATGCAGATATTTCCACATAGTGAGGTAGATATGTGGGGGCGTGTTAGAACGAGCCGTTTTAGGGGGGCGTGGCAGAGTCTTAACTTTGATAAAGAATATCTCTTTGGTTTTGAGACTTTAGTCTTTGCAACTTCAGGGATCTTATCTATGCACAATCAGCTTGTAACACTCCAAAGAGAAAGGAAAACTTGAAATCACATCATATGACCCCTTTAACAAAAATATATATGACACAAATTAACTACGAATGTGCCAGTTTGTAATTAACGCTTTCAGGGATGTAAACCTTTGAAAATAAATATAGATTTTAATGCCATAAAAAGGACTAGTGAATCTGATCTTTGATAGATCTAGAGTCAGATTTTAAGTTTTTTTTTCTTCACTACAGATGAGATGGGAGAAATAATTTAACGGAAAAACGAATAAACAAAATAAATCTTTGACAATTCAGTATGTGACAAGTTAATGGTGAATCGCAAAAAAAAAATCTAAAGAAGATGTATTTATCCCTAGGAAGAAACGCCAGAGCTCTTACTATGTAAGAAGATACCAACCTCCATGGCTCACGTGTGCCTCATAAACCAATAACATTATTTGAATATCTTTCGGCGCTTTACGACTGTCAATAACAGTTTGCGGATACTATAGAAATGAATGAGAAGTGCCGTAAACAGACACTACTTTTGGCAAAAATTTTCCGTGTTTTTTTATTTCGTTGTAAACTCCTAATGTTGCTTACTGAAAAAGAAGCATTTAATGACAAACATTCTAAACATTAACACAGAAGTTCTCATTTAATTAAGTCTCCCCTCTGCTGACATCTATTAAAAACTGTCTTTTTTTTTAACAAACCTTGAAAGTTCACTGCTCTCCTCCAGGCTATTTTGGGTTAGTTCACAAAAAAGTTTGTTGAACACAAAAGAAGATATTTGAAGATCGCTGGTAATCAAACAGTTGCCATTGACTTTCATAGTAGGAAAAAAAAATACTATGGAAGTCAATGGCAACTGTTTGATTACCAGCGATCTTCAAAATATCTTCTTTTGTGTTCAACATAAGAAAGCAACTCATACAGGTTTGGAACGACATGAGGGTGAGTAAATGATGACAGAATTTTCATTTTTGGGTGAACTATCCCTTTAAGATTATTTTCGCAACGCGTTTTAGAGATGTCCCTCCTGGCGCACGGTCGCAGTGTGAGGCAAAAATACAGGCAGAATAAAGAACTGTATAAATGATTATGATAAAGCAGATATTCAGCGTTTTCCTGCTCCTGGTAAGTCTATAAGACGCTATTAATTATTGGCTGCATGTTTTACTTTGAATTCTGTGAATGCAGAATCTAGTTATTTGGTCAAATAAGATGATATATTCTGATATCACGTTATGCAGATTTGTCACCCGGTGTGTATTTTTGTTTTTCTCATTCCTCTGCTCTCAGCTGTGTCTGTATGAGCACAGATATGATTCTCCTGTGTGTGTCAGATGTCAGAAGCAGGACTAATGGCTAGAATAAACAGGACATTTGTGCTGACTCTCCTCATCGCTGCGAGCTCCATATTCCTCCTCTTCCAGCTCTTCAACTACAGACAGTATTCATCAAAGGTGGCAAGACAAAACCACTACAAAACCTCAAACATTTGGCTTTACTGTCCTAAAAAACATTGATCATTTTGGTCAAAGATTATATAGACTAATATAGGCTAACATATATATATATATATATATATATATATATATATATATATATATATGTTTCATTGTGAATTTTTTTTCGTGACTAATATTCCCATTATTCTTAATGGCACTTTCCTTTATCCATTGATTACTGTATTTAATAAACACTTATAATACTATATACACACGCACACAGTCACAGCGTGTGCTTAATGTATTAATAAAATGAGTCAAAGTCATCATAAATTAAAGGCTGGTGCACCTAATTTTGTTGATTGATGTCTTGCATATAGTGACATTATTTCTGTCACTGCAGAATGGACTTAACGCATTGAGTAGTAAAGGATATCTGTCCGGAAAAGAGGCACATTGGGTGAGTGAAATTTTGACATTAATGATCAAAAGTTTAGTCTACAGCTCTAAATCTGTGTGGTTAAGGTTAATGTTGTAGCTGCTGCTCACCAGCGAGAGAGAGAAGAGGGACACAACAACCTACTTCATCCTTATAATAATAAGAAGAAGAAGAGTTATTTTAATAGCGCTTTTCCAAAGCTCAAAGCACTTTATAATCAACACTAAACATAAAACACATGAAAGAACAAGACAAATTCAATAAACAATTATGAATACACACCATTCTCCACAAACAGTCATAGTATCTCAGTCAAATATGTATAGTCTGAAGTAAGAATATACATACATCCGACCCAGCAGTCTAAACAGAATGAACAGTAGAGTAAAAATGATATAACCAGAAAAGTCCCTCATAAAGTGAGTACAGCAAGCAACCTGCATCGAACTGCTTCTTATATGCCATAGAGCCCTTATAACACACCTGTCACATTCTCTATCTGGGATGTAAATGTTTTTTTTGTGTCAGTTCTTTTTTTTTTATCTTAGTTTGACTAAAATCTGCCTAGCCTAATCATATTTGAATGTTACCGTATAAAATTCACTCTGAACTTCATTACTATGTTGACTGTTTACTTCACTCCTGCCTTCTGAAGCCAGAAAACTCACCACACTTTTAGCTAACAATTTCAAACATTACAGTCAATAAGGCAACAGAATGTTTTAGTCTCTGATATGTGAGACTGTCATTTGCTAATATTTTGTCTCGTTTTTTTTTTTTTTTTTTTTTTGGAATTCCTGGGGCTGGTCCATAAGTTTAAATTGCCTGTGTTTCTGGTAGACACGGCATCTCTGAACCTCCTGTCCCAGGATGCAGTTCTCTACAGGGACAGTCAGCTGAAAGAACCCCACTGCAGTTTCCTCTGCACACACAGGGACTTCACCACCTTTGCACTTCTCGGAAACCTCTGGAAATATGATGTGAGGAATTCAATAGAATTATTGTGGAAGCAGCAAAAAATGGCATCTTTTAAGCATTTAAGGAAGATTTGACTTAGATCCTCACCTTTAACCCCCACGCACACATTGTTCATTCTAACAATAGTTTAACACAAGAATAATACTTCTCTTTATTTATGCAGGCCGGTTTATTGGATGCAGCAGCAGAGCGAGGTCTGGAGCTGCTGGAGATTCATGGCAAAGACCCCAGACTGATCAGCATGGATGATCTGACAGCAAAAGAAATACCACTGCACTTCCTGTTCCGCTTTAACAGCCGTCTGGTTCATGTGGTCGTTCTATACGAGCGCAGTGGGAAGTACCTCTGGCATGGCCCTCTCAGGCTGAGAAGCAGTATGGACAGGACATTCGCCCCTTTCGGAAAACTGGACTTTGGCCGTCATGCTGGGGCCTATGACAGGTGACGCCATAATTATTGCATGTACACAGAAATGTCAAGTGAAGTAAATGTCTGAAAAATATCACAATAATCCACAAGTAATCCACACGACTCCAGTCCATCAATTAACATCTTGTGAAGCCAAAGGACGCGTGTAAGAAACAAATTCATCAAGACAATTTTATCTTCAAACCGTTGCTAAGAGTCCTTCGTCTATAATATTGCGTTCTCAAGTCATTCCATCTGAATCAGGAGAGAAATATGCACAGATCAAGCACCGTTTACAAGCCAAAACAGCTCTAAACAAATATGTGGCTGGATTTTGATGTGAGAGGACAACAGGGGATGGACTTTTCACTAGAGAAAGCCTATTGTGGCCAGAAGTGACCATTTAAAGTTTAAACGCCTTGATGGATTTGTTTTACAAACACATTACTCGATGAACTGGAGTGGTGTGGATTACTTGTTGATTATTGTGATGTTTTTATCAGCTGTTAGGACTCTCATTCTGACGGCACCCATTCACTGCAGAGGATCCATTGGTGAGCAAGTGATGCAATGCTACATTTCTCCACAGTTTCCACAAAAATATTTAAAAAAAATGGAAAGAAATTAAGATTTGACATACATCGTTTAATTTCATGACTTTTTTTCAGGCCAGAGCTCATTCTAACCACTCTTGATGGGCTTGACGTAAGAATCCCCAAAAACTACTCTCGTTTCCTCCATGAGCATTCCAGCAGTCGCTTTCTGGAGTGTCACTGCAGAGAAGCCAAGGCCTTTTACCAGGTACTGTGGATTGATGGGGAATAAAAGCAAGATGTGTAGGTGTTTAAATCTCTTAATTGGACTGTTTTATCTGGTTTAAGCATTGAATATATATTGGGCTCAGAGTCAAAATAATTTTGTGCAGCTGTATCCAGAAGACACCTCTACAGAGGCTATGGACTTTAGGATGAGGGCTAAAAGTCTGCTTCATCTTGCTTCCAAAGTCCTCTCTGTGCTTGGAGTTCCGTTCTGGCTCAGCAGTGGAACCTGTCTTGGTAAGAGGCTCTCAACATATGTAGTGTTGGAAAAAGTTACTTTTAAATGTAATGCATTACAGTATTGTGTTACTCCCTAAAAAAGTAACTAATTACATTACTTAGTTACTTTTTATTTAAAACAAACCTTTCAGCTGTGCTGCCATTCTGGATTGCATGAAGAATAAGACGTAGGAGAAGAATGTTAATTCAGCCATAAAAAAAAAAAAAAATGATACAAATGTTATGTTTATCTAAAGTAATTTTTGCTTATTAGTATGGTTGAATTGGATTCTCAGATGGTCAGTAACAAAGATATAGGTTTATTAAATGGGATTACATAAAGGATATTTATGTTAACATATTTAATTATAGTAGGTCTGCGTCATATTTAAGTTTTTATTCAATTTGAGGAATAATGAATCTGTTTTTGGGTAAGTGAGGCGAGTAAATGCATGTTCACATTTAGTCTAGAACTACAGTAACATGTTTACACAGCACACACAACGTCTCTGCTCTTACTCCCGATTTCTCTCAACAGAAGAGCTGTCAGTCAATAAAGGGGAAAACTACCGTTACTTTATAAGAGAATAACTCTGAGTTACTTTTTCAATTAAAAAAATAATGCGTTACTTTACTATTTACTTGAAAAAAGTAATCTGATTATGTAACTCTTAATGCATTACCCCAACACTGAAAATATGAGACTTGCATCAGTCGATATGCGACCCTGGACCACGAAACCAGTCTTAAGTCGCTGGGGTATATTTGTAGCAATGGCCAACAATACATTGTATGGGTCGAAATAATTGATTTTTCTTTTATGCCAAAAATCATTTGGATATTAAGTAAAGATCATGTTCCATGAAGATATTGTGTAAATTTCCTACCGTAAATATATCAAAACTTAATTTTTGATTAGTAATATGCATTGCTAAGAACTTCATTTGGACAACTTTAAAGGTGATTTTATCAATATTTAGATTTTTTTTTGCACCCTCAGATTCCAGATTTTCAAATAGTTGTATCTCGGCCAAATATTGTCCTATCCTAATGAACCTTCAAATCAAACCTTCAGATCAAATCTCAATTTTTAAAAAAATTACCCTTATGACTGGTTTTGTGGTCCAGGGTCACATAGTTCAAACTCACAATATAATGGATCACAGCCTATATATTGATCTTTGTAAGCTTCATTTTTATGGCATGATAATGGAATGATATTGACGCATTATGAGGCATTTCTGTTTCCATTTTCTTTCCTGTGGATTTAACTTATCTGCCATATTTCAAAAGGAAACGCAAAGTCCATTTGCAATTGGATTTCCAAAGTCTTACAAGTTATGACCCTGTCATTTTGGAATAGCAATAGAAAGTCACCCATTTGCTGTTTCACTTTCTTTGCCTTCTGCCCCAACCCTCACAAAATTCAAATGGAAGCACAATCCCGTTTGCACTTGCATTTCCGATGCCTAGCAATATGTTCAGGCTGTCCTCGACCTGCGTCATAACTTCATAAGTTTTCTATTGGTTCTATGGGCTGTCATAGATTTTAAGAGGAGACTAAGCAAAAACAACCTTTGGTGAGTAATTAGATTGAATAACTCCCATCTAACTCCTTCTGTCCCATTTCCCACTTCCCACAGGTTGGTACAGGCAGTGTAACATCATTCCTTACAGTAAAGACGTCGATCTGGGCGTTTGGATAAAAGATTACAGGCATGACATCACTCAGGCGTTTCAGAAGGCTGGTCTCCCACTGAAACACAAGTTTGGGAAGGTAAAGGGTGATTTATTACCTGGAAAATAACATTGCTGGATGCTTTGTCAGTTCCCTTGCTTTAAAACTGTTGTTCAGAATTGAAGAAACAATCCATCTCAATCTCCAAAAATGTAATATTGGGTGATCTGGATGGACTCATCATAGAAACACTGTAAGCACAGGACGTAATTATGCAACTGTGCAGAAATAGCTTGTCAATGGGGCAGTACCATGACAGGTAGACTTTTGACTTCTAAAAAAAAAAACAAAGAAATTAGTGCATTGGCTTATTGGACATAGTTCTGTGAAACAAAGCAAAACCAATGTTACACCGTGTCTACATCGGACGTGAGCGGCGCGGCGCAACAAATCCCCGACAGAAAACTGCTGCCGGGTTCTATTTATGACGTGCTGACACAAATTTCAAATGGTTTTCAACGGTCGTTTGATCGCATCCAGTGTAGGCAGACTTTAGCTGTTGTAGACGCGGTGTTACTCACCTATTGAGAAGAAACAAAGCAACCTCGGCGTCTGATCGCATGCATCCGCTCCTTGAGTTCTCTCCAGCGCTGGAAAGCTGATCCAATATTTACACGGGTCCTACTTCTTGCCTTGCCTTTATCCGCCATCTTTATCTTTCTGTTGCTCGGCTCGGCTAATGTCCGTCCCATGCACTGAACGCGCTCTCCTCCACATCACGAGTAGACACGCCCCTTATTGCTGATTGGCTTCAAGTTTGTTTTGCTATTCGGCCCGAATCAGTTTTCTAAAGTGTTTTTGAAAAATTACATACCCTACCTTTAATTTGTGTTCTGACCATGAACGAAGGTCTCACGGGGTTTGGAACAACATGAGGGTGAGTAATTAATGACAGCATTTTTATTTTTGGGTGAACTATCCCTTTAAGCACATTTTCCATCCAAATTCTCTTTACTCTAATGCAAAAACAACGTTCTAATTAGTAATGACTAAAATAATGAAAGTCTTCCTGTCTTTACGTTTTTAATGAGCATACATTCAGTTCAGTTCACATACATTAAATTGTCAATATATACTTACACATTTATGCTAGATGATATGTCTTTTTAATGTTACAGTAATGATGAATAATGCATTATAATAGGTTCCTGCCTGGGCTGCGTTTAACTGTCAAAGTTATATCACAATGGAAAAACTTGATCACTAAAGTAGGATCGATTAATTGGTTTAAGGATAAATCAAGGCCCAGACATTTGCTGACATATTTTCACCCTTCTTTTATTTAAATTTCAGGTTGAGGATAGTTTGGAGCTCTCCTATCTGGGGAATGATGTGAAACTGGACATTTTCTTTTTTTATGATGAAGGTGACATTGCCTGGAATGGAGGCACACAGGCAAAGAGTGGCAAAAAATTCAAGTGAGTATTAGAGAGTTCTCTATTATCAATTAAACATTTGCTTTCAATCAGGGATGCAAACTCTTCAGGGGTGAAAAAAGTTTGTGAAAATGATATGAAATTACCACTAAAACAGTAGATGGCTGCAGAGGATCATTCATCAGCTCATTTGCCATTACCTCTCCGTAATATAGGTTCTTTCACCTTTCTTTTTTGTTCCAGGCTTAGTTCATAAAATTGATTATTGAATATTATAATAATTTAAAGTATTTTTATTGTACTGATGTATGAAGTATAGCAGCTGTAAGTCTCATGCATAGGTCTATTTTGACATAGGCTAGGTAGATGTTTTGTCTTATCCATTGCGGTTATCACTGTCAATTTCAGGTCAGCAGTGAAAGACCACCTACTAACCTGTCAGTTGTCCTCTGTGTAGAGATAAGAGAGGTTTTACAATTTCTTTAAATGTATGTCTTATTTGTTTTATTGTCTTCTCATTTTCTAAAATCTGTACTCGACCCGAATCACTTCTTACCCGAACTCAACATGCATAAATTATTGATTTAAAAGAAAATGTCGACCTGAGATGGACCTGATAAAATTGAACCCAAGTCTGACCTGACCCCGACACCATTCATTTTCTAATCCGACTGGACCCGGAGGTAAATGGCATTGATGTGTGCCCAGCCTGCAGCCTGCGAGGAAAAAAACCCTGGTGTCCTGCTGACTGATTTGGCCGCTGCTCCATTACTTTCATTTATTTATTTATTATTTCTTTATATTATTGCCTTCCTGATGGATACAAGTTATTTCTTGGGTTCATCTTTCAGTTGTGACCAGTGAATTGGAGAAATAAACGTGATCGCTCGATAAAATCATGGATTCGCTAGTCTTGTCTGCAACTCTATTTACCTCATATTCGGCGAAGGGCTTGTGCACACAAAAAAGCCCTACATGAACATGCAGCGTAATGAAGCGAGTGGCTTTTTCTGATGGATCTCATATCTATAAGATGGATTTCTGTGTGTAAGGTCACAAACGTTTGTTCCTTTTCTGTTTGTGTTTCTCAAAAATGCACTTAACATGAACTCGCAAGTACTCACTGAAGTGCTGAAATGTCAGTAAAATGCCATCCATTAGGCAAACGGAGGGGGTTGGTAATGTACTACGCCAGGCCCACTACCTATGTATTTCTGCTAAAATCTCAGTTGCTGCTGGCCATCCGGGATGGTTTAAAAGAATTCAGGTCTTATCTAGTCCATTTGGAAAAGGCACATTTATTTTAAATTAACCAAGACCCAAGGCCACTAATACCGAACCCGACCCCTTGGAAGTTTTGGACCCAAACCTGCTCGGGTCTCGGGTCAGACCTCAGGTTTTCCAGATCTAAGTGGACCCCGTGAAGACCTCTACTATTCACTGCAAGGGTTTGCGGTCTGTTTTTTTTTTCTTTCTGGAACTTTGTGAAAATCATCAATGTTTTCTGATTGCTTGTTGGTAATTTTGAATAACAAAATGCCTTTTCTAACTCTTTCAAGGCCATTTGTCCGAGTCTCACAACATTTTTCAGGGAATCATTTATCTTTATCTTACATCTTTGTCTCATAACAAAGATTTCAGATTAATTTTGATTTATTGAATTGTTTCGAAGATATAAGTAATTGACATATGCAGTGGGAAGAATAAGTTTGTGAACCCTTTGACAGCATCTGGATTTCTGCACTCAAAAAGTATGGTCTGATCTTAATTTAACTCACAGTTAAGAGTCAAACACAATATAAACGTTACATTTTTCAAAATTGTATTTAAGACCTGATCTTTGATGGGGTAAGCTGGAAAAAGTAGGTGAACATCTGTGTTACAACTCGAAATTGTTCATTTCAGAAGATGAGGCTGGATGTATGGGTTGCAGAGTTGCCCTGCCCTTTAAATAAAAGCATACAAAGTCTGGTTGCTGTTTCTACAAACACAAAGTTTAGCACTAACCTCATGACACTCAAAAAATGTATCAACAAGATCTTTCTAATTTAGCTGTGTTGGTCGTTTAGTCACATGTCACACATGTTCTGGAACCCCAGTGTCTGTTGCAAAACATTGTTGTTAGAACTCAATGGGTGGCACTAGTTAATACTCAGGGAAATTCTGTTTTTTTTCTTTAAATATCTGCTTTTATTTGTATTGTTTCCTGACAGATATGTGTTCCCACGATTCAGTCTGTGTTGGACTGAGCTGATGGAGCTAAAGGTCAGAGTTCCCTGCGAAACCGGGGACTATGTGATGGCCAACTATGGACCTAACTGGAATGTTCCTGTGAAAACCTGGGACTGGAAGACCTCTCCGTTCAACGTACAGGAGAATGGTGTGTGGCCTGTGAGGGAATGGGATGATGTCATTCAAGTTTACTGAAGCATCATGGGAGTTAAAGTATTTAGTTATGCTCCAGTTAATATGTATGGGTCATTGCAGTTACCCTAAGCTACTACAAAGTCGAAAGTAAACCCCTATGGAAAATGTTTCAGTGTTCCTTAAAATTCTGCAGACATTGACTGCCTTTGTAACACTAAGAACATTGAAAACATTAGAAATATTAATGTGGTGAAGAGATTTGTTTTATTAATGTAAATCATTGGTCTCATAATCAATTCCTGGAGGGCCTCAGCTCTGCACAGCTTAGCTCCAACCCTAATCAAACACACCTGATTCAGCTAATTAAGGTCTTCAGGATCATTACTTCCAAGCAGGTGTGAGTTAGAGCTAAACTCTGCAGAGCTGTGGGCCTCCGAGAATTGAATTTGAGACCACTAATGTAAATGATCTGTCCTGTAAAGAGGGTAGTTTTACTTTTGATTTGAGAATGTGTAAATAAACTGCTGCTGTGCATTGTCCTGGGTACTGATATGTATTTTTTTAATTGAATAATAAACTCCTGTGTGAACTATTTAGGCCAGGGGTGCCCAGACTCGGTCCTGGAGGGCCGGTGTCCTGCAGAGTTTAGCTCCAACCCCAATTAGACACACCTGAACCAGCTAATCAAGCTCTTACTAAGCATACTAAAAACTTCCCGGCGGATGTGTTGAGGCAAGTTGGAGCTAAACTCTGCAGGACACCGGCCCTCCAGGACCGAGTTTGGGCACCTCTAATTTAGGCTCTTCTTTCTTATGAATATAATTTTTTAATTGCTGATGTATCACTGATATATACATTTTAATGATAGCAAATGATAGCACACTAATTTGCCAAAATTAAATAAACATATTGTAGTTGAGTGGTTTTAGTGCCTCAGCAACCCTGGGAACTTGTCTGGAGCATTGCCTCCTGGTAGGGATTTCTAAGCAAATTGGTCCCAGGTTAGAGGCCAGACAAAGAGTGATCCAACACTGTCGCTTATGACCAGGAAAGAGAGTGGAACCTTGATGACAGTAGAGATACCAGGGTCCTCTCCTGGAGGCAGGTCTGGGAGAAAACCTGGTGGCCGGTTTGAACCCGAAACAACAACATGGGCCACATCCTTGTGGACTTACCACTTGTTACATAATGGGTGGCAGCTGGAGAGGGGGCCCATGTGGACCTTGGATGCAGATGGCTGGAGGATGTGTTCCAATAATCAAGGGATCACACTTCTCAGCCTATGCCAGAGTGCTGGAAGAACAATGTGGATTCCATCCTATATGTGGAACAGTGGACAAACTTTATACCCTAACAAGGATTCTGGAGAGGTATGGGAGTGTCCTTATCCAGTCTACTTGAGTCTTGTGGGCTTGGAGAAGGCTAACATCTGCATGCCTAGGCATGTTTTTTAGGGGGCACTACGGGAGTATGGGGTACATGCAGTTGCTTATCAGTGCAGCCTGATCTCTATACAACCAGTGTGAGAGTGCGTCTGCATCCTTGGCATTACTTCAAGTTCCTAGGCATCTTAGGGTGGCACTGCTGCTCTTTGCAGATGATGTTGTCTTAATGGCCTCATCGGGCTGTGACCTTCAGTAATTACTGGAGTGGTTTGTGGCTGAGTGTCAAGCGATAGGGATAAGGGTCAGCACCTCCAAATCTGTGGGCATGGATATCACCTGGAAAAAAGTGGATTGTACTCTTTGGGTACAGGATGGATTGCTTTATCAAGAGAAGTTCAGCTATCTCAAGTTCCTGGTGAGTATTGGACTCCGCCAAACGTGTCCCGATTCTGTTTGTGGTGTTCATGGACAGGATCTCAAAATACTGCTGAGGAGCGTAGAGGTTCCAGGGGGTCTTAGGGTGGCACTGCTGCTCTTTGCAGATGATGTTGTCCTGATGGCCTCATCGGGCTGTGGCCTTCAGTGATTACTGGGATGGTTTGCAGCTAAGGGTCAAGCGATGGTGGTAAGGGTCGGCACCTCTAAATCTGAGGGCATGGATATCACCTGGAAAAAGGTGTATTGTATTGTACTTTTGATACAGGATGAATTTCTTTCTCAAGAGAAGTTTAACTATCTCAAGGTGTTAACAAGTGAGGGTAGAACTAAATGTGAGGTTCAAAGGCAAATGCAGTCATAGTACAACATCATTAAATCTTTAATGATGATAAAGATGACTGATATAGTATAGAATCAGGTCATGTGCCATGCAGTCTTTGCCTGGGAAGACCTGCTGGAGAAGTAGAGAGAAGTATGATGTCTTACTAGCAAAGTAATTAGCTGCGCACAATTTCCAGATCATCTGCGATTTATAGTTTTCAATTCTGGAAAGGAGGCGTATGCACTTATTTGTGCGTGTTCGTTTCTTTGAATTACACATGCACATTTGAGGAACAGGACGGTCGGTTTCTATGCAACACTTCATAAATGAGGCTCCTGGTGTAAGCTAAAAAAAAGAAGGCACCACATGCCACCCATCATGTACCGGTATGTTCAAGTTTATTTGTTCAGCGCTTGTCACCATACAAATCATTGCAAAGCAACTTAACAAATTAAGTTTCTACAATATTTAGTGGTAGCTTATCAGTGGTGACTGTCAGTTAATGTACATATGGCAGAAATGTACAGAAAAATCAATTAAAGACAATCAAACAGACGATGAACACTATTAACAGCAATTATTATATGATGCAATCAAAATAGACATATTGGGGGTGGGGGGAGGAAAACATTTCTCAGACGCTCTGATCAGGGGGGGACATATACATTTTGTAGTGCCACTTTTAAATGCAAATAAAATGGGGTCAAAAGCAGCCTCGGAGCCGATTCCCCTTCCTGAACGAATGTATTGTTTTTAAGTATTAATTATTATTAGGAGGTTTATTTTTAATAGTGACTGCACTATTCACAAATACAAAACACCAGCAATTCACTTTCTTTTATTTTTTGTTTTGTACAAAATGTATCCATATAGTATCCATCAGATACTCCAACAACAAATGACTTAAGTCAATTTACAAACCTTCATGACATTTATCTTTTTACTGGACAAGAAGCAAATGTGGGAATATTTACCCACGTCTCTAGAAAAACAAGCCTGGTTGCAGACAAAGCTATAGAAACATACTTGATACAACATTGTCATATTTAGCAGTGCCTTGGATTACTGGCACCAATGACCTTATTTAAATGTACAACAGAAATCACAAAGACAAGCACAGAGTTAGCAAACACCTAAAAACTGCAACAGCCATGTAAGGAACGCACAAGTCTGGCTCACAATCTAAAGTGGGGGGAGAAAGAGAGAGAGAAAAAAAAAAAGCACAGGGAAAACAAGCTCCTTCTCAACATTGCAGGATCAGCTACAGAACCAATGATTAAAAAGAGAAAATAAAAAGAATTGAGGGTAAAAATGCTTTTTGGTTTTCAGTTAAATTTTAAATGCACTGCATGCATGATGCTAACAATGGCGTAAGATTGAGAAAAAAAAAATTTATTTTACAAAATGCCCAGAAATATTCAGTTCAGCTTTACGATAAACTTCAACTCTATTAAAAAAAAAAATCTAACAAAATCTACAAAATGAAAAGTGGGGCAAAAACAAATGGAAAAAATAGGTTTAAACCTATTTTCCCCTATCTCCGGTATCGGCCCCTCTCCTTCTCACGGTCTCGAATTCGCTCTCTCTCACGGTCCCGTTCTCTGCCACGCTCTCGTTCTCGGTCACGACGCCCGTCCCGTGGCCGCTCGCGCTCTCTCTGTCGGTCCCGCTCACGTGGTCGGCTCCTGCGTCCACTCACCACCGCCTGTGTTCGTCTCAGGAAATCATCCACACGCATGTCATAGTCATGCTACCAAACAAAAGTTTTAAAGATTGAATGAGTAATCAGACACTTAACATCAAGAAACACATATTTGGAAACGCAGTTTTTGAACCAGTTTTTTTCAGCTAATCAATGCTATGGTAGGGCTGGACGATTAACAGAAAAGAAATCGAAACCGAAATATCGAAACTCTAACCAATGTAATTTTCTCATGTCGGTTATTTTGTTTTTTTTAATCCTATTAATACTTTCCAATTAAAAAACATACCACCGCATGAGTAGTCGGCGCTATACGGATGTGTATGACCGTCACATTCATGATCTTTAGCAGCGTCTCACACGTGATCGACGCACTAAAATAATTAAAACTTTTACACTCCAAAACAGTGGACCAATCAAAAGACCCCGGAGGCGGGGCAAATGTTTTTGTTTACAGTAGCAGGTTGGCATGGCATTCTGTGCTGCGTTTTTTTTTTTTTTAAACCAATTCTGAGCGCTGCATCTCGCCGTTTTAGACAGATATGTATAGATTTCACATTCGACCGCTCCAGATACATTGACGCATTTTTGGAACAGTCAATTTGACGTCATTCACCATAATAATAAATGAATATTCAAAGATATACATGCATATAACTTGCTGTTGTAGATGCACACAGTCAACTTGCGCTCGAGGGTTCACAGATCGTTCCAAAAATGGCAAATGGCTTACGTACCGTGACCCATAGAAACAGTCTCTAATGAGGCACTACGTATATATATCTATGGTTTTCGACACAAAGACGTGTTCTGTGTGATTGGCCAGTAAGAACCTAGAGTAAATACTTAAACGTGTAGAGTGACAGGACAAAATCACTGAGATGGTGCCAAGCTCTTTCTCTTAGTCAGCAGTGTTCTATTTACATTATTTAAAACATTTGTTTACAGGAGATGCAAGTTATTTTTTGCTTTTCACATTGCAGCATTTAAAATAATATTGTCATGCAAAAAGTACAAAACTTGTATCTCTTGTAAATCAATATTTAAAATGTATTTTGTTTGCAAGAGATGCTGGTTATTTTCTATTTTTGACAACATTTTGTTTGCAAAAAATGAAAGTTATTTTCTATTTTTTTTAGGAAACTTGCTTTTTACAATAAATCTGAAATGACTTTTTACACAAACCGTCTTAATTTCAAGAAAGCTTTGATTTCAATTGTTCTAAATATTCAACAAATAACCAAAAATAGTTTGTTTCCTTCAATGCACTCTTTCATTAGAAAAAAATAAATACCACCTTTAATAGTTGAGTATAATTTTATATATATTTATTTATATTTAAAAAATCATTAAATAATCATAATTGAGGTAAAGTAATCAATTAATTGAGGTTTTGATTTTAGGTCATATCGCCCAGCTCTACGCTATGGTAGTGTTTGAGCTGTTTTAAGTAGCTAAACATTACCAAACTGGAGGCGAAAGAGCGAACGACCCTCTTTTCCCTGAAGCGGGCATCGTGGGGCATGGGATGGTGTCCGGAGTAAGGAGGGTGGGCTTGGGGTGGAGGAGGATGATGCTGGTAGTACGGGTGCTGGGGAGGATGCTCCATTCCAGGGTATGGGGCCTTCAGATAAAACGTGTCAGGATTGAAACACATTGATAACCAGAGCAACGGATACAGAAAAACCCAGTGAATACAGTCAGTCTTACCATTCCTTGCCATGGTGGTGGAGGCCCAATGTTGTGGTGGAATTCTCTCATATAGTCATTGTAGGACTAGACATAAGAAAATGAGTGTTAATAGTGTTTATAATGTACAACTTATAACTTTATGACTGCACCCAATCAATCGGGGGGAAAAATGTCACTAATGGGGTCTGAAAAGTAGCTACATCTAGCATCAAAGTTGGCAATACTTATGATGAATAACTCTTCCACCCAAGTAATAAAACAAATACATTTTTCTGTTTAAGACATACTTGGGTTATGAATGCTATTTCATGTCGATTTAAAGATTTAAAACTTACTCCGTTGAGAAACACATCTCTTCTAACACCAGAGAAGCGCCTGTGAAGAGACAATAGGTTATAATAAGTAAAGTTAAGTCATAAATAAAGTTATAATACAACTCCCATTTACAATTGGAAGCTAATGAGGGAAAGACAACAATACCAACCTGTCCACAGGTGGATTGCGAGGGTCCTGCATAAAACCTAAACCGACAGCAAAAATTAGATGAATTTCTCAAATTACAGAAAGGTAATTGCACAAACAATACAACCAAAAGTCCAGAATTAATCATCTCATTTAAAACCCAAACAAATGCTACAACCATCTTGGCCAAAAAGAAAACTTAGAAAGTCAAGAAGATCAGGTTGCAGTTCAGCTTTCATACTTAATACACAGAAATACAATTCTCACCTAAGGTATCATCCTTAAAGGGTCCTGACCCCCCCCCTTCCCCTCCCCCTCCCATTTCAGTACTGGTTAGTTCTCACCAGTGGAGGAGGGGGAAGAGAGGAGACAGACAACACACACAGCTTCGCGTTCAGACTCTTTCATTTCAGGTTTCATTTCGCTCCCATCGAGTTAAAAACACAAATAAATGCAGTCATTTGCATCGAAAACATATGAATGCGCTGTTGCACCTCTGAGAACTTTTTTAGCACCGACGCGTCATTGATGTACTATAGTCCACTGCCACGTCACAAATTGTGACATCAACACAATGTAGATTTTAAACCCGGAAGATGAAAATAGTGCAAAAAAGCTTAAAATTAACCAGTTTTCTCCAACAGTTAAAATTATCGGATGCCAACATTGTCTTCTATGATGTGCAACACAAACACCTCTGCTAAAATTTCAGAAGTAGTAGTCTGGGGTTTCATGACCCTTTAAAACACAAGTCACTCGATAGAGTCATAACAAGAGGAGCAGAAAACCTTTTTGTGGCATATTACCATGGCGCCCTTTCAGAAAGCAGACCACTGAATAGTGAGACAGAGGAAAGAGAGATCTACATGTCGCAGATATTGACCTGGTCTCTGGGGGAATTCTGGCGTGTAATCAATCCTGGGCCGCTTCCGGTTGTGCATGTCATATTCCTCTGGACGACGCCTACGTAAACCAGGTACATTAATGTGAAAGATGGCACTGATTTGAAGAAAAAAAAAAACAGCAACAGACAGACACGAACCATACAAACAAAATAACCAGTTATCAGTGTGTGGGTACAGGGTGACATATTATCAGATTTCTTTCTTCATATTTTAGTTAATAGTAAAATACTTCAGTGAACTGTTTAACATTCATTGGTGAGCAACTAAATGAATACTTAAGCTGCATGACACCAAGTAAAGCACGGCTGTAAGCACAAACCTAATGTACAAACTTTCTTTGCATATTAAGATCTCAATGTCCTGCATGAAATATTCAGGGTTCAATACAAGTAATCTACCGACAGCATTTGTGTCTTAATGCTGATTTGAGCTAGGTGAAAATGGATGATCAAATAGTCATCCAACAACTGACTAGTTGGTGAAGTTGGCTAGATCATCTAGATTTTTTAGTTTAATTTTTTATATTAGTAGCAGCGGTAGTGTTGCGTTTTCAAAAGGATGTTTAAGAGGAAGTTAAAAATGCATCTCAAGAACACTGCATTGTTACATTTCACTGAACTCTGACTGCTTTTAAAACCCATCGTATGCACCAAAATATATTATGTAATTGGGGTCAGGTGAACTTTTTTTTTTTAAATCATGGTTACAGAAAGGCACTTAGTTAAGCAACAGTCATTAAAGATTAAAGTGCACAATTTTTCGACAGTAAAGCCACAAGATTGATGGAAAGGCTAACCAAACTTGTCCATGTTATATACATTTGTATATCAAATGTCATGAGCATGTAAAGCAGATCACTTTTGTATTATACATGCAAGGATATCAAAAACTTGTACTGAACCCAGAACATTCCTTTAATACTAAAGCTACATTGATGTGGTTCTTTTTTTAATGCTCAATCCTCAGCAGAGCTCTACAGTGCGAGCATTTCACGGTGTTCAAATGTGAAAACTTATTTTGACACCAGTAGAAGTGAAATCTGACTAATTCACAACTCGTGAACTCAAATGATACCATTCACCCTTATAAAAAAAAAAAGTTTCACAATGCATTTGGTTGAATTTTGTTATCTTCCATTCAAGTCAACAGAGAAATTAATTTTTTTTTGAAAATGTTTAATATACATTCAAAGAGGATGTGCTCTTGCATTCTGGTGTGCATAATGTATTGTTATTTTTCTGGTAGGGTCTGGTAATACTAGTTTCATATATATTTAAGATGGTGTGTCGTTTTTATTTTGACACCAGTAGAATTGAAATCTGACTAATTCACAACTTGTGAACTCAAATGATACCATTCACCCTTATAAAAAAAAAAGTTTCACAATGCATTTGGTTGAATTTTGTTATCTTCCATTCAAGTCAACAGAGAAATTAATTTTTTTTTGAAAATGTTTAATATACATTCAAAGAGGATGTGCTCTTGCATTCTGGTGTGCATAATGTATTGTTATTTTTCTGGTAGGGTCTGGTAATACTAGTTTCATATATATTTAAGATGGTGTGTCGTTCACCAAGATGTGTTTCCAGGCTCTGTTCCGTTACACTTCGTCTAGCTGTTTTTATTTGTATTTGTGAATGCATTTCTCTGTTGACTTGGAAGTAATCAGCAAAAAGTAGCCATTTAAACACTAAAAATAGGAAAAGGATTTGTGAATTTCAAGAAAGCATGATTAATATATTTGAAAGTTCCATTTTTGTGTTAATGACTGAAGTTATAATTACATTCTTGGGCAGTAAAATATTACTTTTATTTTGTATAAAGATGTCTTGACAAAGACACCAGACAAGTTTGCTGATAACATCTTTTTCCAAGTACAAAGTATGTTAGCATTAATGTTAGTCATTAAAAAAACATCCTGAGCCTTACCCAAATGTTACCGTAGAGCCCTGCTCAGAATTACAGTTTGAGTAACTTTTGCTGTGTCCTAAAGCCAAAAAACCCACATGCCTTCAACTGTGCCATGAGTCTTTTTCTAGAAAGATTATTCCTGAACTCAACTACTCGAACATATACTCAAAAAATGGGTGCCCTTAGTGAAAATGTTATTCTAACATATGGTAAGAAACCCAATATGTCAAAAAACAGTATCTACAGTGGAGAACAATAAAATCTGGTTGAGAGTGTGACATACCGCATTCTTGTAGTTTTGTGACTGTTAACGTTGGCAAATACTTTAAAGAGTAAAAGTTCATTTAAAAGTCCATCTTATGCTTTAACACATTTTAAATGGGAGGGCTTGGTAAAGCAGAAGAAGGGGGAGTGATAAGGAGTGGTGCAGTCCATTGCAAAGCAAACCAAAAAAGACCAAGAGAAGATCCAGACATCTGGAAATAACCCTTCTCTTGGGGTACTCAGTCCATGGAGGGCTCAGAGAAACACAGAAGAAGGGAAGGGTGGAGGCATCATTTTACACCATCTTTAGTCCAGAGGAGGGAAATCAAACCGCCTACCTACCACCAGCTGGAACATCCCATCGATTTTGAGGAAGGGGCTTTTTGTAACAAAGAGGGTGGGGAAAGGGGAAGGACGTGTACACATGTAACGCATCCAAACTGGAGTCCATCAGTTGGGGCTGGGGGCCAGAGACAATGCAAACCAACAAACTTCCTCATAATGTTTGTCTGGAGAAAGTAAGGATGCATTTAAGTCCTTTTTTGGGGCCATTTTTTTCTTTTTGGGCCTTTTTTTGAGCACTGTGGTATGGAACAGAGTTCATGTAAAGCAGTGCTCTATAGGGACAGTCCCTGGTGTGATTTGAGTCCATAAGCACTGCAAACGGGATGACTACCCACTCCGGCAGCTTTGCAGAAGAACATGCTCTTTTTTCCCCTTCCTCCCTGTCTCTCCCTCTCTGTTTTCATTCTTTCCTTCACCGTTTGACGCTACACCCCGGACACTTCAACTATCTATATTCATAAGCACACTCTGGAGCTTTTTCTGGAAAGGAAAACCAGCAAAGAAGTCCCAAAATACGCTCCTCTTGAACGCTTTTTTTTTTTTTAAACAATGACTGCTTTCTGCCCCTCAAATCGATGTGCCATCTTCGGTTTAATTATTAAGGCTCCTTTTAAAAGAGTCCCAAATTTGACTGGCTATATCCCCCATGGACACTCCTGCAAGAAAAGGCTTTGGGAACAAATTTAAACACAGTCTCATCTACATAAAGAAACAAACCTCAGTGCTACAACTACAAAGTTAACTAGACCATTCTGAGGCTTAATTTGTTAACAGTTAACAGAGGCATATCAGGTCAATTGTTACACCATTTTAACTCCCATTAACCATCAAAATTAACAACAGCACGGATGATTTATGCTGTGACTTTCCCACAAAGCCGCAGCAGGTCCGCTCTGCTCTGGTCGGCTTGGTTCGTGGCTCTTCTCTGACCCTCGCTCAAGTGACGATGAAGACGAAGGTGAAAAAATAACAAAAACACACACTTGCTCCCTTTGCATCAGGTGACAGGGACACAAGTGCGCACTATCAGTCCAAAGAACATTTCTAACCTTCCCATGTCCCGAGGGACGGGCTCTCTGTGGGGCAGTCGGCCCCGAGATCGAGGCTCTGAGTGCATCCTTCTCTTGTGGCGCATTTTGTGAATGACTTGATACAAGTCAATGCTCTCATCAGGTGGAAAGAGCATGCACAGCTGTGTCCCGCAGCCTGGTTCGATCTCCTGCAGGCGGCCGTTTAGAGAGGTCCAAGAGATCATGCGAGAGAGTGAAAAGAAAGAAAATTAATTAAACTAGGGATGTTCATTTCGGTTATTTTTCCTAACCGACAACCGAAGCTCGTTAACCGATTGTTAACCGTAAACCGACAAGATTGTTTTAAATTAGAATTGAATTAAATTAGAAAGGATAAGTGTCTGTGACCCGTTAAAAAATACTAACATTTGTTTCCCGGGGATTAATTTTACATGCGCAACAATGCAGCAAACAACAGAACATGAGGATTCACATGGTCATCATATACGCATCTGCGAGCGGTAGCCTATATAACTAATAAATAGGCCTATACGAGAAACATATTTTCACTTAAATAATAAATTAAGAAAATGAAAAAAACTGTGCAAGTAGCCGCCTATATGCAGAGCTTCGGTTCATTTTTGTGCTGCGCTAAAGGAAACAGACGGCCAAAAGCGGCATCCTATTTTTCTTTAGGCTTATTTTACAAAAGCACAAAGATTTGTTTTTGTTGTGAATGTACACAAATAAAGGCAAACCTTTTACAATTCCGATTATCTTTAGGACTAAAAGGAGTAGTTGCTTCCACTGTTAGAAGGAAAAAATTCAAGTGATTGCACCTGCGCCACATGCACGCACTCAGTTAAGCATTGCTACCTTGACAATGCAGCATGTTCATTATCATAATAAAATAGTCAGTCAAACATATGGAAAAAAAAAAAATTATGTAGTAAAATCTGTGCCGTTAAGTGTTATCACAGTACTGCCGTGATGTTATGCAAAACATTTTGCTTTACATGGATATTGGAATGCGAGTGAAGTACATAAATAATAATTTGCCATTCAAATACATCACGAATATGGAAACATTTGATTTTGTGTGGAATGAGAGACCCAACGGTGGTTTCAGTTTCGTTTTAGCCTAAATTAATTCGTTTTGGCTTGTCGTTTATATTGCTATAGCTTCTTATATTTTTACTTTTAAAAAATTATACGCGTAGAGTATTTTAACCATGCAGCAAAACTTTCAATATTTTGATAAATTATTGAAAAAATTTTATTAAATTACTTTATAAACAGTTTAACTGAATGTATTAATCTGTCAAAATTCGTACAGTCGGTTAACCGGTTAAAATGAACATCCCTAAATTAAACATTTGTTTATATGACCAATTATGTGACTAATTGTCAGTGAGGCTAAAAAAGGCATGGGATGAGAGGCTAGAAGTCAACCGAAAACCTAAATTGACTCTATTTGTGTTTTTAGTGTATGTTCCTGGTCATATTGTAGAACAATTCGTGTATTTCAAAGAAAAATGTTGTAATTTTTCATCAGAAAATTAGAACTTGCTCTGCCTTTGGAACAAATTATGCTTTTGACTGACATTAAAAATCCATCCTACTTTTGCAATTGCAACCCCCCAACTACAGGACTAATGTAAGCAGTATATAGAGAATATAAGTAGACCTGTAACTTGCCTTGTTTTTGTGGTGCACCAGCAGGAAATTCCGGGGCCAATAATTCTAACACAGTTATTGGCTAGTAATGATTCAATGATCAACATTTGTTTTGAAAGATCACTTTGCCCCACTTTTACTAGACTGACCCATTCACTGTAGTAAAGTTTTCCAGCAAAACTGTGCATGAATCTGTCAGAGTTATAGCTGTGAAATTTCTAGCCATTACTCCAATATATATATATATATATATATATATATATATATATATATATATATATATATTAGAAAACTCTTATATATTTGTCTGATAAATGTGTTACATTTGTTGACAACAAATTTAAAATAAATTTTTATTTGGATAAATAAAAATGTTTGCAGGGCATACAAAAAAAACAAAAACCTAAGTGAAAAAAAATAGAAAGAAATATATATAGTTATTAATATATATTTATTGTTGAGCCCTGAACAACCTGGATTCGTTGTATGTAACATCCACTTGTTACAATCTAATCCCAGATGAAAAAATTGGTTAAATAATTAAAATGGGTTATGGAAGGAGTTTCATATTAAATGGACTAACCTGTCCATCACGTCCAATCTTCACAGGCTTGTGCTCATTCCATGAGTTCGGCCGGGCCGTTCTCAAGCCCGCCGGCCGCCGCCCACTCAGGCCCACCCACCGCTGCTCACTCTAGCCCGCCGTGTGTTTCGTTGTGAAAGCTAAACTTCTCCGATCACAAATGCAGACATGGTTTTATGTTTACGCGGCGCAGTGCAACGCTATGCGTAATAAGACAGTATAAGTCATTATAATCCGTAATTATGTCCCCACTGGATGAAACAAATGCCTTGTTTGTAATGGGTTTTCATGTTTTTGAATTGTCGCTCCGTATAGTAAGAGGCGTAACATTTCCGTCACATGCTTGAGGTATTCGGCCAATCACAATGCACTGGATAGCTGGCCAATCAGAGCACAACTTGCTTTTCAGACCGATGAGCTTTGTAAAAATCGACGCGTTTCATAAAGGCGGGGCATAGAGGAGAAACAATAATGTACAGTATGTGGAAAATAATGTGTTTTTTGAACTTTAAACCGCAAACACATTTCATTACACCAAATAATCTTCTTTTTAGCAACATCATATGACCCCTTTAACAATCTACTGTGAGTTTAGAGGTTTTTAATTGGTTTATGCCTTTTTTTTAAGCCACCCATTCACATAATTTCAACTTGTTTTAACAGCTGGTCATGGTGGAAAACTACATTACCCATGATGCTGTACAGAAAATGTGCAACAAAAAAAGCTTGTAGGGAATGCCTAGCCCCCGACACACTGCAAACAATGAAATCAAGTTGGTCTTGCCATGTCAAAAAACACTAAAGCTGTTAAAGGCACAATATGTAAGATATTTTATTAAAATATCCAAAAACCACTAGAACAGTTTTATATATTTTGCTGATTTGTGTACTTACATTATCCCAAATGTTTCAAAGAATGTTTAAATCCAGAGAAATAAGCAATTTTAACTAGTGACACGGACCGTGTCTATAGTGTCACCTGCCAATGACGTCATACACCCTCGATTTCCGGTTTTGTTTTGTAGAAAACACGGAAACACCAAAGACGCTTTAATATGCTATGCATTTGATTAGACAGGTGACAACCGCACAGAGTAGCATTATAACAGAACGTTCAAATGTATCTAGTATGATAAAACAGCGCTGCTTACTTCCGCTGCTTTCGAGTCGTGTGTCGCGCTCGTTCAGCGGCCTCGTTTTGCTTCGATGGCTTTTCTCCTCACTTGGCTTCATATTATGATGTTAATACATCTTTAATACATTAGCTCATCCATGAACATGATTTCTGCCCGAGTCCCATCGGATAGCGTCGGTTGTGGGGATGAAGACGACAACTCCCATGATTCCACACTCAGTCACGGCGTCATCTAACTACGTCTTTGTTTGTTTTGAATATGCACCCTCTAGTGGCAAAAAATTACATATTGTGCCTTGAAGTACGCAGTCGCAGTGCTTTTCAAAACAATTTCAGATTCTCAAATACATTTTAAAACAGGATAGAAAATAGCCTATTATTTCTAAATTATGACGTGTGATGTAAAAATCTTGCTAACTCGCTAAAAATGGAGTTCATGAGCCCTTTAACAAATTTGCTTTTTTTTAAATCCCCATGGGAAAAATGCATTAGCATGCAAGTAGTTTAGGTTTTGTGAAGTTGCTACGACACCCTCTAACAGCATAAATGCTCCAAGAGCATCTGCTGCTCATCATAAGAATTGCTGTGTAACTGATAACAACTACAGCTAAGCAGAAATGCACAGCATCCTACAGGAAGTCTCTCCCTGTAACGTTGAGGTCAGAAGTTAAGAGCTTCAAGTAGGCATTTCAATTCATTTATATAATTTAAAGGTGTAATCAGTAAGATTTCAGAAGGAAGCTATCTAAAACTTAAGATCTACAGACATGAATTAAAACTGATTTCAGTATAAATAATTTGAAAGACAGTAGTTTTTTTTTTAAAGAGTTATTAACCGTCAAATGTTTTGAAGTTTTAGGGGAAATGATCCCTTCATATTAAAGATGTAATTTAATCACATGTTGACTAATCTTTGAGCTATGCAGTTGCCTGTCTGTCTCTGTATCCCTGAGGACGCAGTAATGAAGAACAAGCAGATGGTGCTGTTGAGCACCATAAGCTGACCATAGCATGTTGAACCTCAGCTGCAGACAACTGTGTTGTAGTGATCTAAAACAGCTTGGTATTTTGTTGTCAAACACTTTCTTGTTTTTGAATTGTGAACATTTCTGTGCCACCCCAACTAATTGCAAACGTAAAAAAATAAATCCTGCTTTTGGCACTGATGTCAAGCCAACATACAGATTATAATAAATCACAATTTCTTGTGCTTTTGTAATTTTGAAGCTTCAAAGCAGATGAGTAAACTATCCCTATATTAAGTTGTATTGACCCTGACATATTATACTTGAAAACAGTTTTTAGCTGCCCATGTGGACATCAGACTGTGAGACAACTCACTAGGGTTTGGAACAGAGTATTTAGCAACTTATCAGAGAGCATCAACAACATGAGAATGAGGATTATGATTAGCATGTTCTCAAACTGTGAGAATGCTACACAAAGGACATTTTCTGTGATCTTCAGTAGCTCATACCTGACGCCTCTGAGCCTGAGGCTGAATGCACAGACTCTCCTTCCGAGAAGGACACAGACTCAGACTGGGAATCACTGGCCTCACTGCGAGTATCGTAGTCATTCTGCTCATTTCCCTCCCGTGGGTCCTCCTCCTCCAGTTCATACTCCTCCTCTTCTTCATCCCCTTCCTCCTCCTCTTCCTCCTCCTCCTCTTCTCCTTCCTTCTCTTCTCCTTCCCCCTGCATGGCTCCTTCCTCTTCGACATCCGAGCAGTTGCCCTCAGAGGAAGCCGCAGAGCTGCCAGTTGCATATTCTTCTGAATGAGCCTCTTCCTCTCTGGAGGAGTGACTTGCCCTGCCTGTACGGTCCTCACTAGTCCTCTGCATCTTCTGAAAACAAGGGTTTGTATTACACACCATGTATCTATGTATTGCATAATATGAAAAGGAGGTGATAAAGGATCAGACAGTAAATGCAACAATATCTAATTAGCAAATTATTACACTAGATTATGCACTCAATCTAATTTCTTCCCCCAAGAAAGCAATTTTCTCCTTTTCACTTCTGATCATTAATAAAAATGATTGTTTTTTTTTTTATGGTTTCAGTTTTGATTTTTCTAGATTCCGTAATCATATTTATAAATAGTTTTTAAATTAAACTTTAACAATTGAATAAACTCAATTTTAATTACAGGTACCTGTGAAATGTATTATATATTTTTTCTTTTTACAGATTCTGTATACGTTTAACTGATACAGTGAAAACTATACAATGTTTAATTTTACATTTCATCAATTTATTCAATTTCTGTAGTATGTCTGACTACTGTTAAACCTATCTGAAAATGTTTATTTTATTTATATCTTTGTTGTGTTGTATTCTTTTGCCTTTTTTTTTTTGTTTGCTTTTTTGTTTTATTACGGACTCTTCCTTTCAAAAACTGTTTTATGACATTTTACTTACATTAGCCAAGCATTAGTTTTTGCAATGGAATAAAAATAGTTGAGAAGTGTGACATTACACTTGTATCCAAAATTCTGTTGTAACAACTTAATCTCCAGCAATAAATAATTACATTGAGTATAAAAATATTTTACATAAAATTACTGACACACGCTTGAGGTCAAAAGTTTACATCCCCCTTTCAGAATCTGCAAAATGTTATTTTACCAAAATAAGAGGGTCATACAAAATGCATGTTTTCACATAAAAGATGTTTACATATAGTCTACAAGAGAAAATATCTGAATTTGTAAAAATGACCCCGTTCAAAAGTTTACACCCCCTGAATCTTAATACTGTGTTGTTACCTGAATGATCCACAGCTGGGGGTTTTTGTTTAGTGATAGTTGTTCATAAGTCCCTTGTTTGTCCTAAACAGTTAAACTGTCTGCTGTTCTTCAAAAAAAAAAATCCTTCTGGTCCCACAAATTCTTTGGTTTTCCAGCATTTTTGTGTATTTGAATCCTTTCCAACAATGACTGTGTGATTTTGAGATCCATCTTTTCAAAGTGAGGACAACTGAGGGACTCATATGCAACTGTCCTAACTACACGCGATAAAAGGTATCTTTTCCATGTTTATCAGAGTTTTTGTCTTAACTAGCCGCGACAGTGACACGCAAAATTTCTACAGTTTCTATTTCCGCGATGTCGCGGCTGGAACAACAACATACAAACTATATGACAGTAGATAATCTCAGGTGATTATGTGCTTTATTCAAAGTTAAACGTCTCTAATATGAGTTTAAATATAATTTTGTGTGACCTTATAGCCATACTGAAAGCAACAATAGATAGTTTAAGATATTGAAAATAAAGCAAAGATGTCCGTTAAAACTGTGAACACACTGCAAACCAACGAGTGTATTCCATAAAGATGTTATCAGTCACTCAGTATGTCCATTTAATGATGTTAAAAAGCTTCAATATTTATGAATTAGATTATAAGCGTATATCTATTTCGTTGCGAGTGCAGTGCACTTCCAGAGAGAGCCCGCCCACACATGCTTCTGATTGGCTGTGATATTTGATTCGGTCTCGTCGTGTCTGGTGTGGCCACCCAAATTTGCTTGTCGCTGGACTCTTGTCTAGGGGTCGACCGATTATCGGCCTGGCCGATTATCGACGCCGATATTAAGCATTTTTATGATTATTGGTATCGGTCATTTTCAAAACCGATTCGCCAATAAAATAATTTTGAAACGTGCTATTTGGCTCTGATGCAGCCTGTCAGAACACACCACTCTGTGGCCTAAAGCAGACTCTGCCCACCGCTCATCTGATTTGTTGGGAGTCACGAGTCCGACCAATCAATGCGGAATTCACTCTCACTCCGAAAGCGCTTGCTAACTGCAGCTGCTTCAGAGATCACGCATCAGTTGTCTCTCAAAGGTAAGGCAGCAGCAGACGTTGCAATAAATCGCAACTAATGTTACACTGAAGTTGCAAGACACCTCAATATTATCTATGATGTCCGCGATGTGGAAAACGCAGACGGAATCCTGTCATATAAATGGAATTCACTGTATGACGCGGAATGTCATGGAATTTGTCAAAGTTTGGATGAATTAATCAAAAGTAGATCAGAACACTTAAATAGAGTTTCAATATGGACTAGTATCTGTAAATATTAAGCCGCAAAAGCACTATTATGAAATATGAATCTAGCATGTTCTGCGTGTCTCGGTGTATGTAAATGGCACAGACGAGCGGGGTTTTTTTCTACACAAAGTGTGCGACGCTCGCGGTGATTTCAGCTTCTGTCGTCTCACTACATGAGGATATAAATACATGACCAACATGTCCAGAACTGCTCTCACTCCCTCTAAGAGTCACTTCATGAGTATTTGACAGTTTCATTGGAGTAAAACTATCTTCATATCATTTACATAGACCTACAGAAACAAGATCCTCATGGCAACCCGTCAAAATATAAGTTTGGGTTACCTTAAAGAAATTCTCAGAAATATATTGGTGCAGTATGATGTACATAATACTACTCAGGGATGAAAGTTTTCCATCGCTGACGGATTTCCGTCAATTAGAAAACATTAGGGGAAAAGAAACATGTAGCATTGTTGTTGTTCTGCGGCACACCAAAAATCCTCCTTGCCACGGCTGCAGCTTCTCACTGACAACATAACGCCGCTCGCATCATTCACAGTCGGGTTATTAGCACAGAGCAGGACTTAAATTTCTGCGCGGGATTGCGGCTATTAATAATAATTCTATTCATTCAATGACTGTATGGTTCGCGTTATAAGCGCAGGTTCCGCGCTTATAACGCGATGACAGATGACGGAATTTATCATTTGCACGTACTTTTGAGTCTTGAGAACTCTCATTTTCTGTGATATTTCTGTATATTTAAAACATTAATCTCCACATGAATTTATGAATGTAATTGCAGTCATGCCACCTCTGAGCCTCATTGAATGTCTGAAAATTCTGTGCCACCTCTGTAGTACAAATTAATTTTTCATTAATACTAATTTCATGATTGGTAACTTATTTGTCTTACTCTACTTCTTATTATATTGTTTTAAATAGAAATTTTAAAAAGCTTATAAACATAAATTTTTGAACAGTAACACATTGTGGCATTTCTTTTATCCTGTAAATATTATTATACGTGCTTATAAGTTCTTTTAAAGGCCCCTTAGCTTTTTCCATTCTTTAAAATGTAAAGCATGCCATGTTATTGTTCAGCCGAGTCAAGCAATTTTTGGACTAGTCTCTGAACAAACAAATCTAAACACTTGCAAAATGACTTGAAGTGTAAATTGTCTGCCAAAATGTTATGCAGTGTAGGGCTGCACGATAAATCGAAATGGAATCGAGATCGCGATTCGACAGAAGCTGCGATTGTCATGCGTATCTTTCAGTGAAGCACGGTTCTGTGATCAGAAGTAAGTCTCAATCCAAAGGCCAGAGGGTGCTCTCGCGCTGAAACTCCAAATACGCCTCGCAGAAGAATCCCAGGAAATGCCTATCGCTGCAGCTGAATAAACTAGGGTGACCATACATGCCATTTTCCCAGGACGCGTCCTGGCCAGGATTTCTATATTGCCTAAAATATCTAGGTTTTGGCTTTGTTTGCGTGTGCAGACCGATCGGTGTATGACATCAAAATACCATATAGATGGTTCCTTATGCTTTCAAAATGCTCTCGAGGTATTTGATGTCATACACCGATCGGTCTTCACACGCAAGCAAAGCCAAAACCTAGATATTTTAGGCAATATAGAAATCCTGGCCAGGAC